AAGTGAAAATAACCGAAGCGATCGTGTCGATATTCCAGCCCACTCCACACCCCCTAACTTCGCCTTTCACCCATCACCCCTTCCTCTCGATTAATTAATATTTCGATTCGTAGCAAGCGATAACGTGGAAGAGGGTATGGACAGCGAAAGGGACTAGACGGGCATCAAGGGCGCGTACATCAAAGGGCCACCCGTTGAATGCGAACCCAAGCGCGCGATTTCAATCGATCGTAACCAGAATTTGATCCCTTTTTCTCGACTAAAGTCCATTCGTGCACGGCTTTTAAAGCTTCGCACGCGAAAAATCGATTTCATATTAGAAGATAGTTGTTAGATGTAATGCTACTGCTTCGAGATCCAACTCTTATTGAGATATTAACGTAATATTAATATGAAAAATGATATTATGGTTGGCCAAGTTGATGAAAAAGTGCTAGACGAAAATTGTGTTACGTAATTATTTGTTAAGATGAAAAATTAGGTTACGGAGGAGACTAGAAGCTATAAAGAAAATTTAAAAAAGAAAAAAGAAAAGCTGTGTTGACTTTTTCATTTATATCATTACGTGCATGTCATTAACGCTTAGACGCAACAACAAGAGTAACGTTATTTGACTGCTTCATTAACACTTCCTTCGTGTTAAAGTTTTAAAATGTAATATAATCTAAACGTCTTTCTTCCCCGAGTTTTCATAAACTCTCTCTTCACTCTTTAATGCTCTAAACCTCTCTTCTTTTATTTTCGAAAGACAACCTCTTCAAAGAATCCAATGTATGTCACTGCTCTTATGAGAATGATGAATATAATAAATCTCTACGTCATTGCAGAATAAATCTCTTTTAAAGTTGAATAATTAATTAGTTAGTTTTTAGAAAAATATTATTCCATTCAAATATTAATATTTAATTTAACGTTATTTAAATATAATAAGTTAGAGAAAGACAGAGGTTAACGTTCGTTTATTTGTGTTCCTTCGCGAAAAGAAGTTGGAGTAAGGGGTTGGTGGGTGGGACTTTTAAGTAGAAGGAGGACATATGCGGGAGGGAATATTTATGTATGTACATGCGGTACGTACTACTTTGGCAAAATATAAAAAGAGATTGCATGGCTGATTTATGTAAATACCGTTGGCCTGCGAATAAACGATTTCCGTCGCGGAGTAGTCGAAAGTGTATTTCTTTACGTGTGAGTGATAAACGAATGACAGAGAAAAAGTGTTAGTAAGCGAGTAAGAACGAACGAACGAACGAACGAACGAAAGATAGAAAAAGAGAGAGAAAGGGTGCAGTGGGAAGTACGAAAGGCGTTCAGGGAGTAAATATTTTTCGACGTCGTCAGTCGCGAGGGATTCGTGAAAGTTTATCGTATTTCGCACCCAGCTGCCTCGACTACCGTAAGTCGAAGAAGAAGAAGAAGGAGAAGAAGAAGAAGATGAAAAGGAGGAGGAGAAAGGTTGGCAAAGTCGAAAGGTACCGAATGAAGTGACGACGAGGAGAAAAGGAAGGTTCCTCTAGCAGCTTGGAGGATACACGTTCATCCGAACAACCTTATTTTGAAGACGACGAAGAAGAAGAAGACGCGCAACCTACTCAATTTGTGAACTGACTGCTTGCGTAGGCAGTGCACACATTTCTCGAGTTGAGAATAATTTCTCTCTTTCTCTCTTCTTATTGGATAGTAGAAAATATCAAAGATATTCCAAGTGCGAACTCTGTTTTCTTGTTAAAATAGAATCTTAACTTGGGTATTATATACTGTTCGAATGAAAAGGTGATGGTAAAAGATTATTGCATTAAAATTGCTCATACCGATTCGTATAATTGTGAACTTTAAAGGACCATCTACACCACCACCACCACCACCACCACTACCTCCCCTCGTATCACCTTGGCAATAAGTTGTATCATAATCTGGAATGTATCTTTATGGGAAAGTTTCCAATGTTAAAAGTTAGAATAGAATTGTACGCCCGTATAATTACAATCGTCAAAGGATGACGAAGAAGACGAAGACGAAGACGAGATGTAATTCGTTTCGTTGTAAAGAACGTCATAAATGTTGAAACGAGCTAAACACGAATGATATTAGATTTTAAGGAATGAGAAAAGAACATGCTTCCATTTATTTTACTAAGCGAACGAGAAGTCCAACAAGTATGTAGTTAAGTATTCCAAGAAGAATATTTAAATGACTAAGATAATATACATATATGTACGCGTTTGCACAATAATGCAAAATCAAACATCCTTTTATAACCATGATACTATCCACAAGTTATGTCAATTTACATATATATTATATACATTGCGTAAAAAACATCAGGTATTAATTGCTTTTAACATAAGAGTCGTTTCCTAGAAAAAATAAAAAAAAAAAACACTTAGCAATGAACTCATAATATTCATGAAAATAAAAATCTACAATATAAAATTTCTAAAAAAAATTATTTTCTCCTAGAGTGCATTATTCTACAGGTAAATTAGCCGTAACAGCCACGAGATGCACTTTTGTCAAAGAGTATAATTAATGACGTATTAACTTTCTAAATAATAAATTCAAATTTCTCTGAATTGTAAGTTTATTAAAATCCTATTGTTTATAAATGTTCAATAAGAGAATTCATTTTCTTTCGATTATAAATTAGCGGATAAATGGCATTCTCTCTTATCATGGAAAAGCTTGGGGATAGAATTAGGGTTGTAGATAGAAGCGCAAATGGAGGCTGTTCTTGCGTTTACGCGTGAGCATCATCCTGGCGCGGAGAGTAATTACACGGTAATACTGGAGGCGACGGTAGACGAGAGAGAGAGAGAGAGAGAGAGAGTAGGAGAGAGAGACTAAAACCATCTGTCCGTGTCCGTTCGTGTCGGCTGCCAAGCGACTCCGTAAACGTTCTGCGGTGATTCTTGCGAGTGTGTGCATGCGTGTTAATATAATGTATAGAGGCAAAGGTAGCTTTGATGTTAGGAATGTATTTCTAAGTTAGCGGCTCCTCTTGCCGCCACGAATTCGAGCAAATATCTCCTTGGCGAACCGCGCCTGGCTTTCGACAACCAGACCGTGTAGCCGTGCCCGCGGTTTCATCCTACTGCTGATGCTACTACCGGCTTACAATCTAAACCAACCCCACTCTATGCAACTCTTTGCTACCTCTTGAACCTTCGAGCTATACCTCCCCCTCCTCTCATTGCCATCAGTACGTATACCTGCTCTGTGAAACATTACCACCACTACCGCAGAACGACACGATGCTGTTGGCTTTCAAACAGCTCGTGGAATTACGCATCGATATAAGATGTCGTTCGCGTGTTTGGTTAAACACTTCTGTCTGACGGGTTGCATCTAACGAAGGCTCCTTCGAATCAAGACTTGCAAAAGTCGATTAAAAACTAAAGTTAAAAACAAAGGAAACAAATTATTTTCTATCTAGAAGCTTTAAATGATTTCGTTAAGACTTAAGAAACGTCATTTTTGACGTCGTTTGACTAAACCATCGATATCCCAAGTCACTTTACTCTTCTCGTTAATCGAATCGATTCGACGTCCGTCTTCTTATCCGAAAAGTTAATGCGCAAGAAGTTAGAAGACGTTGACGTTGTACATCGAAGGAAAAAAAATAAAAAAGCGAAAAAGGAAGGAAGGAAGGAAGAGATGAGAGAAACTAGAAGGGATGAAGGTGAGGGGAAAGGTAAGAAGGCATCTCTGGCAGACCACGTGAAAAAAGCTCTTAATCATATTTCCCTGAAACTCCAAGTTTTCTTTCCTTCCTTGCTTCCTTCATTCCTTCCTTCATTCCTTCCTTCATGCCTTCCTTCATGCCTTCTTTCCTACCTTTTTTCGTCGTTCGCCTTTCCATTAACTAATGACTAAGAAAGCGAATGTATATCGTTGGTATAATTTACGACGTATTGGAGACTATAAGAGAGAGAGAGAGAGAGTGTGTGTGAGAGAGAGAGAGAGAGAGAGAGAGAAAGATAGAAAAAAAAGAAATAACGAGAGAGAAGAAGGCTAGTAGAAGTTTCTTCTACTTTACTCCCTAAGTAAAGTCCAAGTTTTCATCGAGACTTCGTGGAAAGTTATAATTACAGGCTGATATAAAAAAGTTCCACTTTACACCTTCGTCAATTCGACGCGTACAATCTCCACGTGATTACCTGCTTATTATTATAATAACAGTTAAGATCGAGAAGTTCACAAGAAATATTTTCAGTAAAAAAATTATTTTAAAAAAAGTACCGATAAATCTTCTACAATATTTCTTATTATTTTTCTATCGATAATATGTTTTCCTTTTCTTTATCTTTCTTTTAATAAAGTTCTATTAAAACAGCATTAATAACATTTTTTTAGTTAATAAAAAGAATCTAACTAAACTATTAATTAATAAGAAAAAAGTTAAATGTTGTTCAATCTAGAATCGATAAGTCAAGGAGAGACCGAAGATAAGACAAATACAAATTCTCTTTTCTCCGGTGTGTCTTTTGAATTGCAATTGCAATTTCTCTCTCTCTCTCTCTCTCTCTCTCTCTATCTATCTTCCTAAGGTAAATGCAAAGAGGAAACAAAAGGATGATATTGCATTGGGCAGTAGGAAACGCATATCTTTCGCGATCTCTCGTCGTCTCGATAGTTTCCGAAGTCCAAGAGGCAGGACTGTCTGCGAAAAAGCAAGGGGGAAATGGAAGGGGGTAGTTCGTGGGAAGAAATTCGATATATAACTGTAAAGGAAGTGGAAAAGGAACCGAGGTGGAACCACCTACTTCCCACCCACAATCAAAAGAGGAAAGAAAGAAAGTAAGAGAAAGAGATAGTCCACGTTCAGGAGAGGATAGGAAAGTTCCTTCCGAGAGAAGAAAAGTTTTGAATATTCAATACTTTACTCGAGTAATAAAAAAAAAAAAAAAAAGAAAGAAAAAAGAGAGAAAGAAAAGGGAAATGGAAAAAATGAAGAGAAGAAAAAAGAAGAGGAGAGAAAGAAGAAAATAAAATGATAGAAGATAGACGATCGAAGGAAGTAATTTAATATTTCGTATTTTCTTTATTTCTACGGGAAAGACTTCCAGCAAGAAGAGGTCTAAGGCTTAGTTGATTCGGCCCTTGCGGCGAATTCGCGTGACTTGTGGTTTACAGAAATTGAAGAAGAGAGAGAGAGAGAGATAAAAAGGGATAGTAGTAGTAGTAGTAGTAGTAGTAGTAGTAAAAAGGTCTAAGGACTAGGAAAGTACTTTCTATTCGCGTTGCGTCTGAGGATACCCTAGCGTCACCTCTGGAACCCCTTGTCCTACCATCTACATCTTGACTACTAACACAACGAACCACCACTACCCATCTCTTCCTTCCTTTTCCCAACGTTCTTATCAAGGGAGACAGTACACTCCCTTCTCTGTACCAGGACCAGGGGTTATAGGAGGGGTGAAGAGTTTGAGTTTGAGATGGAGGTCTCCAAGAGGGTTAGATGTTTTCGATGAATCGATTCGAGGGTACTTCCGCTATGCAAACTCCTTTCCCATCGGGGAGCGGAACACTCGCTACGCCCGTTGCACACCCAGGCTCTTCCTTCCTTCTTCTTCCATCTAACATTTCGAACCCTCTTTAGGTTCAGGCCTTCAACCATCGAACATGGCGACGAGTCAACGGAGTTAAGGCTGCACCCTTAGCGACTTTCTTCTTCTTCTTCTTCTCCTTCGTACGAACCATCCTTTCCTTTTTCTCCTCTTTATTTTCTATCTTTATTTCATTTTTCGGACGCGAAACTTCCTGTAACGAGGTTGCCCTCCAATTGCTACAACCTATTCCCCGGACGTATGATCCTTCCCGTCTTATCTTATTTTAAAAGAAATGTATTTACTTGGATTATACAAGTTTCTAAGTTGAATATAGACAAATTCGTTTATTTTCTAGATTTTGATTACCTTTATATAAATGTTATCAATCGTTTCTCAAGTATAGCTATCGCACCTTTTCAGGTATTAACTCTTAAGATGTAGTTATTCCGTAACTAACCTAAAGTAACGTCACACGCTGCTGATTTTCTTCGAGGTTGCAAGGAGAAACACGGAGGGTTAACTTGGTTTGAATTAATAAACGAGGCTTTGCTACTAATACTGGGCTTAACTCAGTTTAGTTTGGCGATTGAGGACTCCAGCTTCGAAGTCTAATCCGATTCTACAGATTGTGTTTACCCAAAGATATATTACAACATATATTTCTGTACATATATCAAAATCCATCGAAGAAACTAAAACTTTTAGTATCATCAATTAGTATAAACTTTAACGTAAAAAATTTATAAAGTAGATTATCGTTGGAACCATTAAATTTCACGCAATAATATAAACGAAATAATTTAATGTTGTAGATGATAATCAAATATTGACAAAATTCGTTACAATTGTAACTTATATAATACGAGAAAACTCCCAATTAGTAATTCTTATTGGATTTCAACAAAACGAAAGTTTCCATCCAAACGTTCGTACGTTAGTTTCCTTTTGAAATTAAAGAGACTGAGAGTCTACAGGTAAAGAATACGAAGTGAAATAGAAAGAGAAAGAGAAAGAAGAAAACTCGATTTGCCGTAGAGATTGTCATCGAACTTCGATAATCTCGTTGTTTACGAACGAGTCTCTTGGCGAAGGTTTTACAATGGCTCCCATTGGTGAAATTTTATAGTATAGAAAGGATAATGGAAAGCTTGAAAAAAAAAAAATCTTAAAACGAATCTTTTTAACAACAAAGATTCCTGAAAGAAAATCTTACAATATTTTAATGATCATTAAATAACAATTCCTCTTATTATATAGAATATTATATAGTATTAAATTGTCTAATGTGTCGATATTATTATTTATGAAATATAATTAGTGTTTTCTCAAAGTATACTATTAATAAACGAAAGGAATAAATATTATCAATAATAGAAATAGTTATTTTATCTGCGGTATCTCTAACAATAGCGAATCATAATGTAGTCATAGTCATCGACGATATTCGCAAAACCATGTTCCCGATTTCGTAGCTTTCGTATGATGATACAATAGTACAGAAGGAGTAACATAGGAAATAGGAAGAGAAGAGGAGACGAGAAGGGATGAATCGGAGATATAGATACTGGTAATCGCGAGGGAAACCATTAAGAGCTGTTTCTGAAGCTTATCATGGTCGCACAGCAAGACTAGGATAGAAAGGAAGGGCTCGAGCTATCCAATTGTTGCGATAGCGTTTGGGATCACAGTCAAGAAACATCAGACTCGTCCGGAAACGACCTCGTCAAAGAGTTTCCTGCCCGTTTACTGTACTCCTCGCAATCCCTTTAACAACCCACCACCATCCTCAAAACAAAAATGTCTACTTAAATTATAATATCGTTATTTCAAATTATTTACAGATACTATATAGACATGTTCAATTTCTTCTTATTATTTTTCTTTCTCTTTCTCTTATTATTAGGACTCTTTGTCCTAGGAGCAATTACATTTTTTTTACCGAGGGTAGGTTGCTAGCCTTGCCCTCGAACCCTCCTCCTTTATCTGGGCTTGGGACCAGCTAGCTAATATCTAGGTATCTAGATACTAACTAGGCGGAGTTAAAAATGTTCTTTATTCTTAAGTTTAATGAAAGCTTTGACATAATAAAAAGTTGAGAAACACTGTTGGATTAGGGTATCGATTGTTGAAACATTTGCAAATTCCTACCCGAATCCATTTAACATTTTCTTACGAATGCATACATAAAACATACATACATCTATTCATACACAGATAAGATATCTTTTTCTATCAATCTATCTCTTTTTTTTGAACGAGGCCAACTGAAAGTTACGATATACGGAACACGGAAGGGTAGAGGATCACCGAACCATCGATTTCCGCTTTGGCCCAATAACTCTGCTTCCATTTTCACCGTTACCAACTTCCGTGGAAAGAGAACAGACAGACAGACAGACAGACAGGATAGGGACAAAAAGGGCCGGCTGGAGCTTTCTATCTTTCTATCTTTTTCTATCTTTTTCTCTCATTCTCCAGTTTCCTTTTTCAAACGGTTCGTCACGTGCCCCTGACAATGGAATCGCGTTGGTTCATGCATAAACGCGACGTAACAATAAACAGAACGGTATAAGAGCATACATAGCACGATATAGCAGAACTGAGAACAGCATAGCACACCGGATTAAAGCGAGAAAGAGTGAGAGAGAGAGAGAGAGAGAGAGAGAGAGAGAGAGAGAAAGAGACAGAGACAAGAAGAGAAAGCGGTTTGCTGAGGGCCTCCAAAGCTGAGGGCCTCCAAAGGCCGTTGATAGCCGGAGGATCAGAAACCGATATGAGATTCGGGCATGTATGAATGATGTAACGTGCTGCCTATGCTACTNGCACGATATAGCAGAACTGAGAACAGCATAGCACACCGGATTAAAGCGAGAAAGAGTGAGAAAGCGAGAAAGAGAGAGAGAGAGAGAGAGAGAGAGAGAGAGAGAGAGAGAGAAAGAGACAGAGACAAGAAGAGAAAGCGGTTTGCTGAGGGCCTCCAAAGGCCGTTGATAGCCGGAGGATCAGAAACCGATATGAGATTCGGGCATGTATGAATGATGTAACGTGCTGCCTATGCTACTCTGCCTCTTATGGAAAGAGAGAGAAAGAGAGAGAGATGGATGAACGAATGGATAGATAGATGAATTGAGAGAGAGAGAGAGAGAGAGAGAGAGAGAGGGAGCAAAAAAAATAGTAAAAGGGAAAAAAGAACTTGGAAAAGGTTTACCATTCTCCTACAGACACACGCACGCGTATACTAAAATACACATATATTTATATACATACATATATACTAAAAATATAAAGAGAAAAAGAGAGAGAGAGAGAGAGAGAGAGAGAGAAAGTATCTGTATATTGCGATATATTGTCCATCTCTCCTGCCACTGAATCGTGGTTAGCCCTTAAAAAGTGCTTGGTCGACTGGAAATTGACGTACCATAGCCGAGACTCGAATGTATATCCGAGAAAAGTACATATATTCAGTCCACCTTATGGTCACTACTATATCCATGAATAAATCGAGATAAGCCGTGCAACACACACACACACATATATACAGGCAGTAAATGGTCTCATACTACTATTGCATGTCCACGGAAATCGTTAACGTAAAAATCAACGCAAAATAAAATGGAAAGAAGAAAAAAATCATACTTCTTGGATTTCTGCAAGTCACTTATTAAAATTATCCTTATTTTTTTTTATTTATTTTCCATGAATTTTCTATTTAATTCATTGGCTTTCGTATATTCATTTACGTATATATGCACACGGTTGTTTTTTATATTTTCTGGTATCGTTGTTCATCTAATCTGTTTACACAAGCTGTGGTTTCTGAGTTAAAATTATGTAATGCGAATGTGGTAATAGGTAAATAAGCAGTATAAATAATAGCTATTTATTATTTCATATTTTCTTTCAATCATTTTACTCGAAGAATATTGACAACCGATTAAATTACCAACTTACCGATCAAATTTGCGACACTCTTTTCAAATGCAAACATATATAAAGTAACCCATAACTCAACAAACAAAACTGCATTAATACTGTAAACAGATCAAATTTACAAATACAATGCAATACGAATAAAATATTGCTTTATCAACGAAATCCCGTGTAGAAAGATTTGTAAATCAACAACTTCGTGAATTATTGCAAAATGTTTTACTCTGATCAATTAACTACTATGCTAATCAGTAGAAACGTAAAAAATTGTAATATTAATTATCTTATTGGTCACTCTGTAAATAAATGCAAGTAAACAACCCATATACGTAAATGTATATCTTGAAAAGTTCCTTAAAAGGATGAATTCGTGTCCTTATAAGTAAAAATTAACGTTGCTTATAAACTCAGGGATTACATTACGCATGAGTTCATCCATATGGGTTGTAAAACACGATTGCAAATGTTTATAAATGAATCAGTGTGACTATACTCTTTGGAACGCGAAGGTGATGGATGGATTTACTCAATCGTTTCAAATATATTGAAATCTGATACATTTTAGAACGATTTTCACTCACCAAGGTAAACGTGTATGGAAAGTGAACGTTATGAAACTACTTTACCTTATTTCTCGTAAATTACCAATGCCACTACAGTCTTGAACTCAATGTATCAACACTTTATAACCTCTCGCGAATAAGTCTCTTCCTCATCTCTATTCCTTGAGAAAAAGAAGAATGACAAAGGGTAAGGATGAGGATATTGTTAGAAGGTGTGGTAAGTTAGGTGTTTATCAACGGTTGTCGGTAGTTAATTACTTTACATGAAAGGAGTTTCCAACCCTTTTGCCGTCACTTGAGACAGTTACAGTCCCTTCGTTGTACGGTTTCTAGCTACTCACTGTCTTGAGACATGACTGTCATCCTTTCTTCCTTTATAATCCCTAATTCTAACATCCCTCTCCCTTCTCCTTTATCCTTGTCCTGTTTTGTAATCCTTGGTATCACCATGTATGTGCATTTCCTTCTGTGTCTCTCTTTTCCATACTTTTTTTACAGAATTTAAAATATCGAAATTCGTGAAAATAATACGCGTCAAATAAGCACGAAAACTTATTGCTGATAACTTAATTCACCTTACGCATATCAACGTAAAAATGAGGTTCAGCGTGCATCAGATAATGCATTAAACGTGAACTAACAAATACAAATAAACGGAATCTGATGAACTTTTATTCCTCATCTATTTTTTATCTAGAAAAGTATAAATATTGTTTCATTTAAAAATGATCATTGCGCAATTAAAAGAATTTCATAAAAGTTATTTGTATTACTACTAGTACTACTTACAACACAACGACAAAATAAATGAATACTTTTGTTAACTCGACACATTCATTTTATCTAAATTAAGGCCAGCATTTTTGTATCCTTTTATTTGAATTTAATTGTTTTATTAAACTTATTTATCTTTCTTTTGATTTCGTTTCTGCTTACACTATTGCTATCTCTCACATTTATATTCCAAGACTTTATTTCCTTATCTTTCCAATAGACTTATAGGAAGGATGAACTTTCCACTTTAAATGGATAACACATTTAACGAATAATTAACAGCTCCAAGCTACCGGAACCGATCGTTCCATTCATCCCAATGCATTGTTTCGTTCCAAGAGTCTTATCAAGGAGAACAATTTCCTCTTTCTATTCTAACGAAATCGAAGAAAATAAATGTTCTAGAACTTGGAATCTTTTACACATCGAATTTAAATACAAATACTTTAGGAATGGTGGAAATAAAGGAAATAACTGTTCCGATACTATTGTCTATTGACAAACAACGAATTAGGAAAGGAAAGATAAATTTGAGATTATTTTTTTAATATTACCAAAAATATAAAACCAATTCTCGGTGTATAAAAATAGTATTATTGTAATACGTGCATCAAAATGAATTACAACTAATTCAAATAGTTTATGATAAAGAGACTTTTGTAAATTATACAATCTATTAATAAAAATGTATCAAAATATATTATAAAAATAAATTTCATTCTTACGGTTCACATTATCGGACACATTGAATAATAAAAATGATTTATCGTTCATAAGAACAGAGACTTCGTTGATAAAATAATTGAATACAAAACGAGTACAGTTTGATTGCATTTAATTGATATTGTTTTTTTTTTTTTTTTTTACTTCGATGAAATATGAATAAAAATGATCATTACGTGTTTCTCAAATTTCATTCGATCTAATAATCTAATGCGATAAATAAGAAATTTTCAAGAAAACAAAACGAAACAACTTGCAAACGTAGACTTATCGTATGACACTTATTCTAATTTGCATATCTTACATTACTCTCTTTCACCTACTTCATATTTTTTCGTCTTGTTATTTTATTTAACGCTATCACCTTTTCCAGAAACTTCTTTCCATTATAAATCTAACCATCAAGGACAATACCATTAGAAAAACAATGACAGCAGCCGCAATTAGTATTCCTCCGTATCCTGAAACAATATTCAGAAAAAAAAAAGATAAGTATTTAAATAAGAGGATAATGTTATCTCGTTATCGTGTAAATGGTTTTTCCTTTTTTAATTCAAACTATCATACGAAAACGTGACTTTGAATTATCTACGAACAATAATTCAATAAAATTCTTTTGGATAATTTTATCGATCAATTGTATTTATTGACCGTTCGTTTTATGCATGAACAGAATCTTAATGAGATGAGAAAATAATTTACTGCTCTACTAGCACAATTTTTTTCATAAAAATTTGATAAAAAGTATTGTTGATTATTATCTAAAATAAAAACCTATTAAAATAGATTGATCGAATCAATTGAACCAGAAATAATTTTATTTCATTGATTATAATATCTAAGTTCATACATGTCACGTAGTATTGATAAAATAAAATCATGACGATAATAAGATTAAATGCACATAAGTTATTACAAAATGAATTCTATAGAATAATTTACACGTATTAAGATTTGCAATAAAGTTTTATCAAGTTAAATTGAAGAAAATTCATTGGACTAATCGATAAGATAAATTTCATATTGAACGAAATTATAGAAAAAAAGAAAAGAAAGATCCAACTCACTTCTAGAGTTTCGTTGAACCTGTTTACCGTTGGGAGGATTATCGGTGAAATTCGAAGAACGATGGTGGCCTATGATGGATCGAGGAGAGCCAAACTTAAAAAACCGGTAAGGCGTTAAAGATAGGCTTGGGGTGGGGTGATCGAGGGAGGAAGGGTTTTCGATTCGGTTGGTCGTTGTTGTGAGTGGTTGCTGGAGGGAGGATATTGCTTGTACTGGTAATGTTGATGCTAGTGATTGTGATTGCGATAGTGGTAGTGGTAGCGGTAATGGTAGTGGTAGTGGAAGAGGTACGGTGGGTGGCGATGCTTGAGTTAGGGGTAGTGTCTGGAAGGGCGCCAAAGGCGGCTCTGTTATGCAGGGTTGCGTTGCGTGCACGGAATACGGGATGTGGGTCGAGAAGACGAACGGCCAGCCGACGTGATCCGGTGGCACAATCGCACTGTAAGGCGGTGGATCCTCCTCGTTCTCGTCTATGTCGCTGACGACGATCGATGGAAGAGTTGCTGAAGAGCTGACATCGTGACTCGAACCATCAACGATCCCGATTGGACAACCACCACCACCACCACCCCCCTTTCGATTCGATTTCTCATAACTTACTACACTTTTACAATTATCTTGTTGATATCTTTGTTGTTGACGTCTATGGTTGTGGTGATTATGATGTGGATGATGGTGATGATAATAATGATTATGATTATACCTTTGATTTGATTCGTCTGATGGTACTGAACAACATGCGATACGAGAATCGTTCCGATTTTCTAATAAATTATCATTTTCTGTACATTCCGGTGCATCTGAAATAATAAAATATTTTTTATAGATATTAACAAGGAAAAATGATACAGATAAATATTTCAAAAATTTCAAACTATGCATCAAATCTTTGTAAAAAAAAAAAAAAACTATAATATTACTAAACTATTTATCTGATAAATTACATTAGTTATTTTCTACAATTAAGATGATCACTTAAGTAATTATGCTGTGGTAAACAAAATAAAACTATGAACCTTGATGCAAAACAAAAAACATCCTTAACAAATTGTATATTCCTTTAAGTTTGAATAACGTTTGAATATGAAAGAACAGCTAACATAAGATATGGAATAATGTTGAAGAAATTTGCAATGCACGTACTGCTTACAATACACCTTTTGATTAAAAACATCCTAATTTACATCGATTAAATACATAAAGAATAGATAATTAATGATATTTACACCATCTACCATTAACTATATTTAAATTTGCTTAATTAATTGAACAAATTATGAAACCTTAGGTAACACTAATTAGATTGTATCCATCTTTTAGAAAAATAAAATCAAATCATATGAAATGTTTAATTTAAAAACACTTAAAACTAATAGCTAAATTGCGTTACGAAACTTTCAAAGGAATAAAATATTCGTAAATGCCACACACACAGATGGATAATAATTATTCACAGTAATGAATCTATCTGAATCAATAGTCACGTATAATATTGATTATAGCCTATGAATACGAAAACAATAATATTTATACAGTTGGTATTTAAAACACGAAAAAGATATACCTGTTTTAAGATTCATCGTTGACACGAAGAAGCAATAACAATTTGATATGCCATTTATGCTTTTAATGTGAATTCAGGATTGAAAACTGCGTATATAAATTTATTTAAGGTAGTGTTAATACAATGTCAGGGTCAATAAATTTGTATAGTGTATTACCACGTTTATACTTTGACTCATGAACGATTAAAAAAACCTTGAAATCACTTTCGTAACATAAGAGAGAACAAATAAATCTATTTTATGTATTTAACTAAATAAATATTTTATTAAATATTGATGATATTTATTGGAAGATATCGAATAAGCTTATCATTATTCTAAACATAAATAATGGTTTAATTAATCGATTGTGCAATTATCAAAGAGTTTCATATAAATATATAAATAACCACCTAATAAGTATCTATTTTCCGGAGATAATGTCAAGATGAATAGAGAATAGTTTTTTCGCCTATCGTTAGACGATAATCGGATTAGAAAGATAACAAATGTCTCGAGAATGAAAAAAGGGAGGAAAAAAAGGCAATTGAAAGGAAACCGTTGGGAAAGAAAAATTCAGACGAAATTTTTGTCGTCCGACAAGCAGTTAAAATAATAATAGTAGTAGTAGTAGTAGTAAGTTGGTTGGCATTTTGCAGCTGAATATATCTCGAAGGAAAACGAGTATTCTTGGGAGTTGCGTCTTAGCTTAACGACTGAACGAACACTCGTAACAGAAAGATAAAGGCCTTTCACCGTGGCTATGTGAGAGCGAGAAACACTGTGAGCAGAATTTCTGTTCTACACTTCGAAATTACGACAGATGAGTGCGCCCAATTCAATAGGAATTTCACTGTCTTGCATTCTAACTTGGTTAGAAAGTAAAACGTCACAAGTGTCATTAGAAATTAGAAAATGAGTATAAACGACGAGAGGGGC